CCACCGCCATGTAGCTGGAATATTAGTGAGTGTGGCGTTAAAAACACAAATTGTTTCTACTATCGTCTTCGCCATGCCTGTGGCTTTGACTCCGAGGTCCATCCATGGTACCACCCTGAACATGTCCAGGGCTTCATGGAAAATGCTGCTTTCAAACTTCTGTGGAATAGGCCCATAACAAACAAACAAATGAATCTGAAATTGAAGTCTACATGAGGATGCAAAGGTGCGAGTTTGAGACAGTTTCCACTGTTGACCGTTTGTTGTGACCTTAAATGTAGAATGGGCTTAAGTGTAGAATAATCATGAATATTCATCAGTGGGCGGAGCTTATGTGCTACGTCACATACACGGCCTAGTATCTCCCGCAGAACAAGCGACTATTCTACGCTTAAGCCCATTCTACATTTAAGGTCACAACAACCGTTAAGTTCACTTGGAGAGAGTCAGTATTAATAAACAGGCGGACATTGTAAAGGCCTTGTGCTGTTTCATCCCCTTTGAATGTCTTATGGCTGGTCTGCCTCACCTTTGATCTGGGATCAGACATTCATTATACATGTGATGCACCTTTGTGGCACCTTTGATGCACCTTTCATAACAGCAACACATGTGTTGTTGTTTCAGCCGCTCTAAAGTTAATATTCACTCCGCTCAACTCGGCTTATTCCGCTATGGCTTCAAATTACCTTTGGCTTACTCAGCCTCAGTAGAGCCTCGGCCAGTACCCATTACTGAACTAGTTTCCTGCTAGTCATTACCAGAAGTCTTTATATAGAAGTTCAACTTGTTGTCTTTGATTATTTCATAAATTCAAACAAACTTTTAAGTCTATAGAATCCTAAACGGGAGACATATTTGAAGTTTTCTATCTAAACACGTTTCTGGTCTAAACTCACTACTTGGATGTCGTCTCACAGTCTAAATACCCCCTAAATACAACAGTCAATTGACTTAAACAGGTTTAGAATGAATACGTGTAAACATGTTTACAACCAAATGAACCCTTATACCGTAGAACATTAATTTAAAAATGTAAACGTGTTAAAAACATAAATTTGATCTTTTAGCATTTAAACCTGTTGAAATAAAAAGCGCATTGGTTTAGTCCAATTTTAATGATATGTTTATTGTATCAATATACATGTAAGGAGTTGTGCATATCAGATTCGCGGGCACTTGCATAACACTACCAGGATTTACAACGAACTTAGTACAATATTAACATAGGATATTCAAACAAGTATTGGTGAAAATGACATTAAAATGTTGACGTCAACTCCGTAGCACTGCACATGTGAGACTTAGTAAACAAGAAGATGTTGCAGATTCGTATCCTTCCGAGCTGTTTATTGACACCCCAAATATGTTCCAGCTGCATGGCGGCGGTCTGTAAATAATCGAATCTGGACCAGACAGTCCAGTGATCGATTTGAATACCCAAGATTGCCCCGGAGTACCCACGAATCGGAGAGCAATGGGCCATGAGTTAACCCACCAAACATAATACTGGGAGCAACAGACATTGATGTGTAGAACGTTTAAGATGCCGAAAGTGTATGCATACATTTTACCGCATTTTCTGACTAATATACAGGCCTCGAGTACCGCGATCAAACGATGGTTAAAGGATTTTTAAAAAGGTTAAACATTAGGCATTTTTATTACATAATGCCATTCCAACATGAATACATACCACATCTGCACCATCCATTCCTGAAAAAAATCGTAACAATTATAGATATATGCACCAAGAATATAAACGCTTTAGTCCTGCCCACGCGTATGCATTTGTTTATTTTAGCGGTCAGCCGTCTGTGGCTGTGAGAGTCCGCTTCGTGGGTTGACCTTTCTTTGTGTGTTGTACGCCATCTACTCTGAAAGAATTGACACATATTTTTCTTTTATTACACATTCCTAGGGTTCATTAACAGCGAATATAAACTATGTGTAGTGACCTTTTAAACATCGTTTAATGATGAAACCCGTGTCTATATTCGAATTTCGGCTAGTAACTTTCAGGCATAGCTAGCTAGACTGGACTAGCAAAATTTGGAAACTATTTCGCACACTGACGACAGGAAGTCCGAATATTTGTAAGTTCATCGTTACACAAAAAACATACAGCTCCTTTCGGGCCGTGAATCGAAACAAATATAATTTATAAAAGATGAGGAAGTGCGCGGTGGATCGTCACAAACGGTATGACGTTATCAAGCTATGACGTCATAACACCAGACGGAAACAGCCGAACGTGGGATTGGCGCCGGCGCAATGATCTCTGGGTAGAAGAGTGCGCCATTTGCAGGATGTGTTCGTGCTTCCGGTGTCGTTATTCCTGCTAAACTATGTAGCATTAACTTCTTATAATGGGGTGTTGCGCTTCCGGAAATGAAGTATCTGATTTGAGGGTAAGACGATGCAAATGATGTACGTATATTATTTTGTTGCTTAACTAGCTCAGTTCATTATTTCCATAATCATCCTGCATTGTAAACTCTTATCGGGTTACACTGACTGGCTGGCGTGTGTCTCTTTTGTGTGACATTTTATCGATGATTATGCGTAATATTCGGTACATATGTTTGAAATTTCACTTTCAAATGAACTCATAAGAGAACAGGATGCGTTTCACAATATCCAAGTCGGTGAAAATAATGTTCTTGGCAGGCGACACTGTTCTAGGGGATGTAACTCATATGGATAGTTTTGTTCAAGAATTATCTCCCTTGGACAGTACATCGAAAACCGTATTCCATTAGCCCTCCTTGATCAGTGAGGATAAGTCCGACCAAAGACGTATATTCACGTGTATACGTCTTTGGTCCGACTGATCTTTTCTCAAACATCGAGAAAGCACTGGTCGAGACTTTTCCAGATTGAGGTCATAGCAGATACATAACCCATATTGTTTATTTTGCAGGAAAGTCCAACGATCTCGCAAAATGGCCGCTGAAGAATCTACGTAGTTGGAGTAGCAAAAACGAGGCTGCACGGATATATTCTTCCTTCTTCTGTTGTTGGCGTTTATTGGAGGAATGGTATATAACAAATACAGATTACCTGTAGATGTTTTCAAGTCAAATGCTGCTGCATCATGTCCCAGGTTTTCCTATGGGCCCTGAATAGGTCCACTAAATACTGTTATAATTTCGTAACCAATACTGATAAAAGGGAATTCAAAGAATATTAAAAGGGATTGGAATTCTTTTCTTTTATACTTATGCATTAGCGTATATCCCAATAGGTTTCCAGTACTGTTTTTGAAGTTAACAATGTGGTTAAAAATGGCCCTCTATAAAGGACATCCCATGGCGGAATTTCTGATACCAGGTGGACACTTCGTCCACAGGACAAAAGGGCTTAAACCAGTACCAGAAAACGAGATAAAGATGTCATCTATGGGATAACCTCATGCCATGCTCCAAATATATTTTTGTTATGTGGGAATGTAACATTATTATATTCAATATTTCCTTTGTTTAAGGGGTATGTGAGTTACCTAGGTGTGAAAGATGGGTGACCCCTACCGCCTCATCAACGGGCTACGACAGCTGGGGAAACGTGTGTGGGCCCAACAAAACAGTATTACCAATAGTAACCAGTCAGGGACAAGACATGACAGATAGACCGCATGTACCATTAACAAAGAGAGTGACTTGGTGTTGGTTTGGTTGGCAATCAGCTCTTTATCACAACTATACCACTGCTGTCTGATGATATGTATTCTGAAAGCGACAAACCAGTGGTTAATATCGTGAACAAAGATACTCGCATCACTGCTGTGGTGACATTCTATAATCCAGGTCGACAGATGACATTGTAACCACTCACTCTTACTTTTAGTCTTTGGAAATAAGTAGTTAAAAACAAAGCTTCATTGTGAAATTCAGTGGAACCAGTCATGGGCCAGGCTTCCCCATATGTTTAAGTTCAAGAATATGTAAGTGGGGAGAGGGAACACTCCTGTCAGACAGTAGCCAGTGGCTCAAGTGAGAGAGTTTAGTTTTACACCGCTTTTAGCAGTATTCCAGCAATATCACCGCAAGGGATACCAGAAATAGGCTTCACACATAGTGCCCATATTGGGAATCGAACCTGTTTTCTGGATGAAATGTAGCTGTCAATACTAGTCAACAGAAGTAAGGGACTCATCATTTGTTAAGAAAGGGCACTGATCTCTGGACTTTATTGCCATAGAATAAATGGCCAGTCTCATTCATCTCACCATATTTGAAAACATATTTAACTGTTCAGGGTTGCCACAGGTCAGGGAAAAGTCAGGGAAGAAATTAATTTTTCAAGATCAGGGAAAAGTCAGTGAATTTTTTTACCAGTCAGTGAAAATTGAAGTTTGGGAAAAGATTCAGGGAAAATTGCATTTGGTCAGGGAAAACTAGTTCCTTTCAGACTTCACAGAGGCAAGGATTGTATGATTTTGAGTTCCATGTCTGTATTAAATGTGTTTTTGTATAGAGATTGGTACTATGATCTTTAATTTACTTGTTTTGGCAGAGTCCATTTGTATACATAGTTTGGAATAACTTCCATGGATGGTTGACACAAAATGTGACCAAATATTCAATCTCAAGCTCTCTGCTGAACTTTCTTTATTACTTGGGTGTGACTCAAATACTGTCACAGATAATTGTTTTGGCCTTTTACTATGAATGGCTAAATTCTTTTTAGTAAAGGAAGGGGTAAAACCACACATTGATGGTTTTAAGAAAGTGTGTGAACAGAGGTATTCCATTGAGAAAATTAGTTTCTCAAGCAGAAATAAAACCAATAAATTTTACACAAAGTGGACATAGTTATGAACCACTTTTCAATTAGTACAGCCAAAGCATAAGTGAAAAGCAGGGCACAGTGAAGAGTTAGCAGTTTATTTTAAGCTCACAACAGTATTAGTATGAATGTGAGAGTGAATGAGTTTGTTTTTTGTTTTTAAGAAAAATGTCAGAATTTCTACCAGTAAATTTCATACTGTCAAAATGAGTCACCATTTTCCTAGAGGTGATCCTCAATCTTGTAACAGGGACTTTCTGACAATAAAACATTGAAATTAAAAAAAAATGTTCAAAACTTCTTATGTCCAAGTTTGCCAGAGGTAATACTTCTGTGTCATATACTTCATCTTGATGTTAGATGGATCTTGTTTGATTACATCTGACTACTTTGTCTTCAGATTTCACTTTGTCTTAAGTAAAATGGGTGGAAAGGTCGGGTGTAGGCCGAAATTTTATTTGTTTTCTTTTAATTTTGATCAGTGAAAAATCAAATTGGTCAGGGATAAGTCAGGGAAAAGTCAACATCTGTGGCAACCCTGCTGTTACATATCCGCACCGTTATCTCTTACACAACCTCTATCTCATGTGATCATATTTTTCAGATATCACGTTTTCAAGTGACAAAGAATATTTCTACAAGAAGTTTCTTCCGGAGTTTTCCTGATGCCACGTTCGATCTGCCCCCTGCTCTGGCCAACTGTCATGTGGGTGACCCCCTGGTATCAACGGACCCCATCGTTTGTGTGGCTCAATGTCCAGCAACTACACTATTAACTTCCTCCAGTGTTGCCTCTTTGTGTACCTATGACGGTGCGACTTGTCCATCATTGCCTGTCCTTCCACAGTAAGTCCATGATTCTTATAACAGTAACAGCATGCTCATTTGAGACAGTTATTGTTTATTAGGGGTGAAATGGTACGCTCTTACTATTGCTTGGTCGTTGAGTCAATGCGACCAATCTTCGACTATTTCAATTAATCGGACCACCACTAGCTCTTACCACGGTAGGCCAGTGGGTTCTGTCTGTTTCGGTTCGGTATCTGAGATATGATCATAATGCAGAAAATTGACAACAAGAGCCAAACCTTACATTGGTTAATATAGCCATAATCTTTGTAATTTTGAAGGAACAAAACTGTCATTTTATGACTAGATAGAAATGACCATACGAAAACCGAAAATACAGAATTTTTGGATTGTTTTATGGTATACTGAACGAAAGCAAAATGTAGCGGTTCTACTAATACCGCGGTATACCGTTTCATCACTAGTGTTGATATCCATTTCAGTTTCCACATTGTTTCATATTTGTGTTTTAAAACATGTAATCATGTAATAGTTTTATTAGACTAAACTTAAATTATTGTCTGTTCCAGCTGATGCATTATTTTGCAGATCTTACCTTTCATTAAACACATGCTGATTCAGGAGAAATTTGACAGGAGAAATGTCATTTTTATTCTCTTATTTTGATTTTGTGTTTTGTATGTTTGTTTAATGACGCAACAACTAAACATAAATGTATGTTTTAGATTCATACAATAATTATTGAAAAATATTTGAATTTAGCAAAACACTCCTGAACCGATGTGTGCCTTCCTCCTTTTTCGTCATGGTAGAAGCCGTCACCTCAAGTATTAAAACAGCAATTTCAGGAGATGTTCCCCAGGTAGGTGCGTGTGTGGGTGTGTTTCTGTTTACGACCACACTCAGCAATATTCCAGCTAAATGGAGGCGGTCTGTAAAATGATCGAGTCTGGACCAGACAATCCAGTGATTAACAGCATGAGCAACGATCTACGCAATTGGGATACCATGACATGTATGAACCATGTCAGGGAGCCTGACCACTGATCCAGTTAGTTGCCTCTTTCATGAAGTATATACAGACCGCTGCCATATAGCTGGAATATTGCAGCATAAATCTAAATTCACTCACTCCCTTGACACTTGACAGGGGGGTCTCACTGTGGGTAAACTTCCTGAATTCGGATTCAACATAAAGGTAGCACCTTGAAGTAGAACTGTTCAAAATACCTTTAAATCCACAGCACTCTATACACAGCCGAAGAGAGCTGTATTTAAGTTATTGCTGGAAACAATTATTCATCTTGCTAATGGATGGATTAAATCCCAGCTGGATGTCCATTTGTACATGTTGTTTAAGTAACGGTCCACCACTCTTAATAGAACTAATTTACGTGTGAAATACACAGAAGCCCATCAAAGCTTTTTACCCATAAATGCAGAATTCAATAATGAGTATCTTGCCTCGACAGTGTACAACGCATCCACATAGTGTTTTTTAAAAGGGTTGGGCCAATTATGTTGTTTCCCAGACTCAAGCTAATTGTTTACATAAATCTCTTGCTTGATTTGCTTTGGACAAATTGCTTGGGCCTTTTGAAAGAATAAAGTAAGGGACTTGATATGTTTATTGGTATGGTGAGGGTAAAGTACCTTTGATGTCATATTTCTTTAAACTATAAGTAATAGTAAAGCAAAAACTCACTAACCCTATCATGGAAAATTCATTTCTGTCGTTTATTGATTGTTATTTTATACCCAAAGCAATATTCCAGCTTTTGGCGGCAGTCTGTAAATAATCGAGTCTGGACCAGACAATCCAGTGATCAACAGCATGAGCATCGATCTATGCAGTTGGGATGCTATGAAATGTGTCAACCATTCAGTAAATCAGCGAGTCTGACCACCCGATCCCGTTAGTCGCCTCTTACCACAATGTATTATACTTCTTTAAATTTCAGAAAGTTTTGCAGATATTCAAACTACATGGCGAGCTGTTGTATTTGGCTGCAATATCCTTCGGTAAGTGGCAGTCTTCAATACAAGTGAAAATACTCAGATTCTCCTTTTTATGTAAAATCCCATTGGTTTTACTGGCATACACATTACCACCATACAAATATATTTTTTCTTCCCTTCCTCTGTTTTGTTCTCTGCTTCATAAAACATGTCATGTGCTTTCTAATCAGAATTGACATATCTCTATACATTGTGGCATCCCTCACACAATGTAATTATATCCTGGGTTCATACTTCAACATTTTTATGTAAATTGATGAAAGAGAAACTTTACGAGTCAGGAGTCTACCTGATTTCATTACTCATTTAATTACACATGTCAGATATCATGTTGTTTTTGTTTTTAAATAAAAGTCTGACCAAACCATAAAATTGTTTTTAGTTTAGCTGCTACTTTTGTTGTTAGATAGAATAATTGCCATAGACTATGTAGTTCGAATTTATCAAAGGTTATACCCGTAAATGTCATACAGCGTGGTACCTGTGATCACATATTTTACAGAATTTTTACAATTTACTACTTTGGAAAAAAGTCAGCTACTTCATTCACTGACCTCCGTGGTCTGGTGGATAGCGTGTCAGCTCCAAGAGAGTGGGATCAGCAATGGTTCAATCCCACTTCAATGTGAAACACGTTAAAATATAAAACTTTGTTACTACAGGAACTGATCAGGCTCAAGATTCAGCATTTCACAGGAAAGTCCTCTATATTTTCAGCTGTAGTCTTAAAATGAACACAACATTTCAAATCTGGCCCATGGAATTCAACAACAGTTGACTTTGGCACTTCACTGGTTTGCTTGACTAACATTCACAAAAGTTACAACCTTTGTCACACTTTAAAGAAAGTTCTGTCCTCGCATCTCACCAGTCTCTGGAATCCTGTATTAATAATAGAGTCTCCTGTTGGAGTGCAAGCTAGGAGATTATCAAGACCAGTGTTCGTGATGGAGTATTTTCCAGGGGATATCCCTCCCAACTAATATCTTAATTTAGGCCCATGGGGCATAGAAAGAGAGAGGAAACTCTAATTATAGGTCATCCATAGCGCTTAAATACACAGGGAAAGCCCAGTACTGTTCCCTGAGTCGGGTATCCATGTTAAAGTACTTTCGCAGTGATTCCCAGTTGGCTAGCGTAAACCAGTAAAGTGGCGGTAGAGGTAGCCTAGTGGTTAAAGCTATATTCGCCACAATACCAAATCCCGGTTCGACTCCCCACATGGGTACACAATTTCCAGGAAGCCCATTTCTGTGTCCCCAGCCACATGATTTTGCTGGAATATTGCTAAAAAGGGCATAAAACCATACTCAGTCAGTCAGTCAGTAAGTAGTAAGTCCGCCAAGACGCAGCTCGCATTGCAGGTTCAGGAATCTGATGGTGACGTTTTATATCACCACAATACATAAACATAACCTACAAAAAGGCAAATGCAATAAAAAATGTTCACATTGACCCTGTGAATACATTCACATAGATCCTGAACCCAACAGATGAAGAGAGTTGCTGTCAGTTTACTTTAACTGTTCTTTTCAGGCTTGGCCCTTTTGATTGTCATCATACTGTTGAAGTTCCTAGCCATGCTTTGTCATCTGACAGTAACCATTCACAGTGCTTCTATGTTTTGCCTTCTACCGGATACCAGCTGGTGGAGTTTGGAAGATATATTAACAGATACATGTTGTCTGTGGGTAATGTCCTTGTCAACTCTTTTGGTTGTGGGTGTCTGTGATGAACTCTCTGCATCAGAAGACACCGCACATCTCCTAAAAGTGCATTTCTCATAAACCCCCATTATAAAAACATATCCAGAAGTAATGCCTTTTGCTACTTGAGGATTTTGGTGTTGTTATTTGACTTGATTTACATGGAAACAATTTGAACTTAGTCTCAAAAGGTGGACTTCTGCTTCTGTGCATAACTCGAAACCGTGCACATATCTTCAAACAAACTTTGCAGATATATCAAACAGATCTAAAAATGGTGCCATTTGCTATTTTGCTTTTTGGCATTTATATTTTCTCGATTTCCATGGAAGCGCATTTGGACTCTAAGTAACCGCTCAGATGATTTGTTCTTTCCAAATTTGAGTTGTTGGGGATTTGTCATCTTCTTGATGACTCTTGTTTGCAAAGGTATAAACAAATGGGATGGTAAACACTGGTGGTCAGTGATCAGTGATGTTTTATTGGCCATGCATCGTACTGTAAACCAATATTTTGGGAGTCCTCATACTGTCAGTCACTGGCTTGTTTGATCAAAAATAGATTGTTTACAGGTGGCTACCGTAAGGTTGCTGAAATATTGTGGCCTTATAGAAACAAATGTAGTTCAGATGCTCAGTAAGTCTTAACAAATGACTTGTGTTCTATTATTATTTAACAGCAAAACTTTAGAAGTTCAAATACACTTTCAAGGAATAAACTCACAGCGTCAACACTCTGGTATAAGCCGATGCTTTCACATGCAATTTATACTGCTCCAGGTATTTGTTCTACAATCTGCATACAAATCTCAAGGCAGAGGTGATCTCAAACACCAGAAATGCAGGTATGAAGGTCGATACCTGGATGGTCTATGCTGCCTGTTGCCTCTGTGATTGGCGGTGTGGGTTGGTTGGGATTATTGATTATCTAAACCTGAATCCTTCTACTCCCCTGAATAGTCCAAACATGGGAAGTGCAATCACAGGAATGATTGCTGGTCTGGTCAGGGTTTCAGAGGAAAACAAGGGTTCTGTTTTTTTGGTCAACATCCGTTTAGGTCAACCTTACCAAGGGCCTGCTATATTTAAAAGGCTAGAAAGTAACCACTATACTAACCACTATGAAGCCAAGCTAGTTGTGGAGCCCTTTATACAATCGTTCCTTTAAACTGAAAATATCCAATTTGGGAAACTTGGGCGAGGTTGGTCGATCAAGCCGAGTCACCTTTGAGGTTACGAAATAGGGTGAGGTTGACCGACTGTGTCAACATTAGGTTACTGTTTTAACCAGGTTTGCCTGATCCGGACTTGGATATTTTATTTGTTATGATAAGTTTGATAGGTGTAAATAGGTTATCATCTACATACTTTTCATGTAGATGAGAAAAGTAAGTTACAAGGGCGTAATAAAAGACAACTGCATACATATTTTTTCTGGGACACATTTTTATCAGTAGTGAGAAGGTGATTGTGACCAGACACAAATTTAGAACAGGTGAGATATGAGGAACCTACTAAGAAACGCCACAGGAATCTGTAGTTTTGATCAAACCAATAAAATTAGATCAAATACTCCACCCTGTATTTATAAAAAAGACATGCCACCAAATTTTGTTTGATGGATTGTTGTTTAACACCCCACTCGGCAGTATTGTAGCTATATAGCTACGGCCTGTAAATATTCGAATTTGGACCATTCCACTTGAGAATATGCACAGGGATAGGAGAGATTGTGAAAATTGTGATTTCACCCCAGTACATGGAGGACCACGTGTGATACAGGCGTCTAGCAAATTCTAAGAGACAGCTTAACTAACTGAGTAGTCATGCTTGCTGGTTTACCTGGAAAATGTCATCAGATATCAACTGTGTGGATTGATGCTCTTGATGTCAGTCACAAGACTGGTTGGTCCAGACTTGATTATTTTACGTGTATATTGAGAAGGAAGAAAATAACAATGAAGGATACAAAGAGGCTGTTTAATAGTTAAAAACAGGATAGTTTTAAGCAGGGTCCTGGTTCACAAAGCGATTGTGACTGTCCAAAATGACAGCCGTAAGGCTGTGTTAAAGGATCGGATTTATGAGCAACTTTGCTTTACAATCACTTTGTGGAATAGCCTTAAGCGGGGACGATTTTACAGTCAACTTTACGATATTGGATAAGCAAGTAGCACATTAGATGGAATTTTGACACAACTTCTTACTCCTTTACCACTAAAAGTCATTTCTGTCACCAACTGGTTTGGCTCGTATGCCGACCTACCAGACCAGTTGTAGGCTTGCCCAATGGCGCTACTCCAGTTTCCTTACATGTTCATTGCTTTAAAAGATACCTGCTAATATTTGGCCAACTGTTGTGTCGGAAGAGTGACTGACAAACTGCAACATCAGTAAACAACGCATGTGCGTGTGCATGCTAAATTGCTTGTGTGTATGTGTTAGGATGGGAGTTTTTTCTTCTTGGCAATTAACATTTTATGCAAGTTAAAAAATCTACACTTAACTTCTCTCAAAACTGAATACTAGGGAGGGAAGGCGGATATTATAATTTTGAAGAGTTACAACTTAAGGGCCCAGGCAAAAGGAAGTATGTATTCATGTTATGTATTTCATAAACATGAAACAAACCTGTGATGTATTCCAAACTAGTGTGATACCTGTGCTTCTGGCCTTAAGTCTGCAGTGTATTACGGGCCTGTTTTGATAACGTTTGTAAGTTTTGTGTCAAATCAACAGATAATATAAAAGTAGACTTGATTTTTATCTACTGTGTTGCAAAATGTATGAGAAAGATTGCTTTTGTCACTGGACAACATAATGAGAATTGGTC